AGACTATAATACTAAGAGGTCAAGCCTACACCCCACTTGAGAGCTATCCCCACATGTCTCCCTGGGGCTGTCCCACACTGGACTCCGACCTCTGCCCCCTTTTCCACTCCGGATGCCCCTGATAAACGCAGCACGGGGCAGGAGCAGACCTCCCCGGCGAGGAGAGGAGGGTTCTGTGGTACCCACATGGACTTTTATGTTTGGGCCAGCAGTGCTTAAAGAACTGGAAATTGGGAGTTCTAGGGTCTGCTGCTTATAATCTTAGGTTGAAACTGTCCCCACAGGATGGGGGGTTTGGTCAGAGAGGAGTTTCCCTGGAGGTTCCCTAGAGAGTTGGATAATAAGGTCTTATACATACCCTAGACTAGGACAGTCCTAAGCCTCTAAAGTTAGGGTCCTTCCCTAGAATTAGCCACCAGAAATGTTTCCTACCTAGAGTCAAGCTGGTCAGTAGACACTCTGTGCCCTGGGAGTCAAGGGGTCCAGGGAGAAAGGAGATCCCTTTGCTTCAGGGAGTTCGCCACCTGACAGGAGTCTGAGCCCCACCCTAGAGGAACCCCTGTTAATGAAGGGGACAGGATGTCCCCTCTAACATTACCACTGCATTGCGTATGCAGGACAAAATCATAGACAGGCAGGAAGCTGAGGAGAAGGGGTCCAAGATGACAGAGCAGATAGGTGAACAGGAGGATGGAGGGGCAGGACTTGGAGGCTAGGCCTGTGTAAGGGCCCAGAGCAGGAGTATGGCTCTGTAATTGCCAGTTGGGATATATTCCCCGCGAACAAGGTCTGAATCGGGCAGTCTCCAAAGATGGGGTTGCTGGAGGGGGTGGTGGAGAAAGGCTGCTATAAAGTATTTTGAAGGCTCTGATTGCGAGTTTTCACCTGAAAGCCAACAGAGATGTCTGGGGAGGAAAGGGGCAAGATATAACTGATGCTTCACGATGATGATGCCAGAGATAATTCCCTTTGGAGTAAAGGGAGGGAATCAAGGAGAAAGACAAGCTGGAGCCAGGAAGGTCATTAAAGAGGCTGCTGTGGGCCTTCAGATTGATGGGGTGGACAGGCCGATGGGGGCTCCCACACCTGAGAGAAGCTGCAGGGGAAACGTGGGCAGGGAGGAGGGCAGGAAGGGCTTTGCGACCGGGACTCCTTGGGACAGGGTGAGATGTGGGGGTAGAAAGAAGCTGGCATCTTTGGCTAAGTTGGTCAGAATAGGGAAAGAGGCTATTTTAGGGAAGTTCAACAGCTCAGTTCACATTTATCAAATCTGAGTTGAAGATAGGACATCTGCTTGATGAAAACTCCTGGAAAGAAGGAGTGAGGGGCATGAAGACCCAGGCTCAGGCACTGGCCAGCCTGCTGGAATGAAGACAGGAACTTCGTGTCAAACAACTTGATAATTCTCTCCCCTTCCCAAACTCCAGAGGGGTGGAGGGAGAGAGACCCAGGACAGGTCTCAGAAAAGCCACAGCGAAGAGCTGGGGTAGGCCCAGGAGCCAGGAAAGATGATGGAGTAGGAAGAGTCACCGAGGTGGAGAACCAACGACTGCACTTACTTTGAGCATGGTGACCATTTCAAGCCCTTTACAAATACTGACTCTTTTAATCCACAACTAGAATTAGCCCCACTGTAAGGAGGAGGAGACGTGTAGCTACTAAGTGGTAAAACCAGGATTTTAAACCCAGGGTGTCTGGCTCTAAGACTGTGCTCTTAACCACTCTGCCTCTGCCTCTGAGGCAACAGAAAGGAGCCCCGGGCCAGCACTTTGGGGTTGCACCTTCCCTCCAGAGGAGGCCTCTTCACAACTGTTACAATAATCCCTGTGCTTCTCTGAGCTTCACAATTCCCCTCAGAAGCCGTAATGATGGGCTTTTTTTGGTTTGAGGTTTTTGTTTTTGTTTAGGACCAGAAGGTGACCTACCTCTTTTTCCCAATCTCCGCTTTGGATATCTTTCCTTTCCTGGGACGTGCTTCCTGAGATTTAACCTAAGTCCTTCCAGCTGCAGCCCCAACCCTCTCCCCAGGTCTTCTGCCATTGGAAGAGGAGCAGGATGGCCATGTCCACTCCTGTGCTACACCTTTTTAGAGCCCTGAATGCTCACTCAGTCCTCTCAAGTCCCATGCTTCTCCAGCCTCTTTCTCCAGGCCACACGGTTCAGTTCTGACTTCTCTCCTGCATTCCAGAGCCAGCTCCTCCCTTCTCCCCACCACCTCAAATCCAGCTCCCAGCTGGCAGACACCCACAGAAGTGTTTTTTCCCATAATCCTTTTCTCTTTGCCCTTTCAAGTTTCTGATGGGGGGAGGGGATGAAGAGGGGCCACCCAGATGCAGTCTCCATGAAAATGGTGGCAACCCATATATTAAATTTGGGTGAAGGGAGACAAGCACTGAACTCAGTCTGTGGGAAAGACAGTCAGAAAGCTGATTCCCAGGAGATGTCCCTGCCAACCACCTTTCACTGGGTGCTAAACACGTGGCTCCCAAATCTCCCATCTCTCTAATCTTTCTGCAGTTTCATCTGAACAGTGCACCTTAAACTATCCCTTCTCGTTGCCCCTTCCAGGGCCTCACCGCCATCCTGGACAGTTTGGCCTCAGCCCGGACAGTAGCACTGACCAGTCAGGCAAGAGAAGAATCTAGGCCGGGGAGGGGAGGGAGAGAGGAGGTTTTTTCCTTTCCATCCTAAATAACCCTTGGCAGGGAAGTTGAGGGGCTCCATTGCTCAATGTCTCTTTCCCTCCCCAATGATGTCAAGGGGTTCTGCCTATCTTCTGTCCTTAGTGCAGAAACCAAGCATTTTGCTAAAAGGTACAAGAAGCCTTTTCTCCTTTGAAAGAGTACGTCTTTCTGCATGATCACTCCCTAGAGCCCTAAACCACTTATTCCACCAATCCCAGCATGGCCCCGGAGGACTTCATCTGGACCTACCCAGATCCACGTGTCCCAGCCTCTCTGGTCCCTAGGGAGGACCAGGGAAGTAAGCCTCTGGGTCTTCTGTCAGGTCCTTCCCTTCTAGCCCAAGCCAACCAAACCATAGCTGTAAGTGAGCTCATGCACAAAGGCGCAGGTGCGGGGATGGGACGCTGTTCAGTGGGGCACAGGGATGCTAGTGGGCAGACAACCAATCCCCCCCCAAATATGGGTCCATAGACTGGATGTGGGGCAGATGTTGAGGAGACGGGTTTTTTTTCCCCTCAGGGTAGGGGCAGCAGTGGGATTCTGTGTTAGAACCACAGAAGGAATGGGACCATAACCCTGCCCCCCTACCCCCTCCACTCAGAGGAGTCGTTGCCATTTGATATCCACTGAGACAAGCTGGCTGCTCGGCTCCGCGTTGGGGGTGGGGGATGGCTCAGAAAACAGCAGCTCCTTTCAGGACCCAGGTTGGCAAGGGCTTTGGGAGGCTGGACTGGCCCAGATCACCCCCAACACCCCCTCTCTCCCTCCCTCGCCACCACCACCGAAGGACTGGAGGGCGGGGGAAAGGAGTTGGCATTGCCTAGGCCATGCCTATTGCCTCCACACACCAGTCCTGGCCCCTCTCCCTTGCATAAGGCCTTCCCTCCCCCTCGTCCCTCGTTTCCTCCTCCCTGTGGAACTAGCTATAAGCCAGGACACCTGGTTTCTTCTACATTTGGTCCCCCATACCCAGCCTATACCATGAGGAATTAATAAGCCCTACTCCTCAGCACGGGATGGTGCCCATCGTCATTCCAGGAACATGTAACAGAACAGAAGTCCTTGGAGATTAGGAAGAGGCTTTCTAGATGAGACTAAATGGAACTCAGGGGTAGCTGCTGGTCCCTCCTCAGGCTGGTTTCCTGATCCCCATTCCAGGCCCTCCTCACCCCTAAACAAGTGTCACTCCTCCCAGAAGGGCACCAAACCTCCCATCATCATCTCCCTCCCACCTAGAAACGCCTAAAGCCGTCCTGGTGGAGAAAAAAACTCAAACACCATGGCCAAGGCAGATGGGCCAAAAATCTTTAGACAAAATTTGTATCAATAAGCAGCAGAATCAGGCTTTAAGCCTAAGCCTCCTTTGGGGTCCAAATTTGTACTAGCTTCTTAGTCACCCCCTCTTCCCCATCTGCCTCTCTCTGCCTGGGGCATTTCATTAACAAGAACAAGATCTCAAGATAGGAGAGGCCCTACTCCCACTTTCCTCCAGTTTTGTCCTTCTCTCCACCCCAGGCTCAGCTCTTCTCCCCCCAAACCAGGAAGTTCCAACCTTCATCTCTTTCCTAACACAGGTGCCCTTGGTTAGTTCCTGGTAGGGAGTGGGAATGGGAAAAGGGCATCTCATCTGGAGGGTGGATGTTATGGACCCCAATCTGTCTTTACTCTAGCAGGGGTGGCCCTGCTGCTCTCTTCCTGGGGAGCTCAGTGCGAAACAGCGGGGGGGGGGGGGGTTAGTAATGGGGAGAGGTGTATTGACGTGGGAGGAAAGTTGGAATGGAGGGAAGAAACTGGGCCAGCAAGGATCCCAGTCACTTCAGGCTACTACATCTCCCTAACCTGAGCTATAGGTGTTTTCTCCCCATGTGTGAGCTAGTGATCAGTGAGTGTCACTATGTGAGTGTCACTGTATGGGGAGGGGCTGGGCATGGGAGTGGGAGTAACCTGATGATCCTGGGAAGAGGGGGCGCTGTCTGGAGTGCCTGTCGGGGGATGCATGGTTATATGTGGTAGTCACTGTATTAGTTGGAGGTCTGTGATGCAACTGTAGTTCTGCCCAGTCGGAAGGGGCATTAGAAAAGCTCCTTCCTTAGCCTAAAGTGCTGAAGTGATCAGCTTAGATAAAGTTCCCTTCTTGGGAGCCCTTCCCAGAAAGGTCCGTTTGGGACAGCCTAAGGAGGGAGGCTGGGGAACAGGAACCCTGAGGCCAGCCAGGGTAGGAACCAAGGGGCTGGGGGCTCCGGTATCTCTGGAGAGTGAGACGGACAGGACCCCGGCCGGGGCGGCAGCACTTCTTCATCAGGGCCAGGGTCTTACCTTGGATCCGGGGTGGAGTGGCCCCTCGGATGGGCAGCGGGACAGACGGACGGACGGGGCGGGCAGGAGTGAGGAACGGAGCTGTGCGACGGGCAGGGCCGGGATTCTTAAACCCGGAGCTGGGATCAGATAAGGGCTGGTCCGGGGGCCGGGGCCGGGGTCGGGCCGGCCGGGGGCAGAGCTGGGCCGGGCCGGGCCGCCCCCTCCCTCCGCAGCGCAGAGCCAAACTTTGCGTGAATGGAGGGACCTGGAGGGGGGCCGGGCGGGCGAGGGCGGGGGGCTCCGGACAGGCCAATGGGAGTGTGGAGCGCCAGGCTCAGGCTGCCGGGATTGGAGGGGCTTGGGCAGGGGGCGGGGCGTAGGGGCAAAGAAGCAGAGCCCTAGACAGCTGGACGAGAAGGGCAGAGAGCAACACCCAAAGACAGAGACCCAGACAGACTCAGGGAGAAAGAGATGGGGAGACGATAGGCGAAGCCATAGAAGCTGAGCTGGCAAGATGACAGGGGAAAAGAGAAGGAAGAAAAAGAGGCGGTCGTGTCAGGGATGGGGAACGAGAGCGGGAGCCGGCGGGGGCGGGCCTGGGGCCGAGTTAATGAGGTGGAAATGAATTCAGGACCGGCCCAGTGGCCCTCCCGGTAGCGCCGAAGGGGCGGGTTCCCGGGACTACAGGGTTAGGAGTTATATCCTTCAGCACTATTTCCATGCTGTTTGCCATTTTCTATGAAGGTCCTAGATGCGAAATACGTAGAACATCATTCCCACCTGCAGCGGCTTGGGCTGAGAGAGGGCAGAACATGCAGCCCAAGTGCCCGGGAGGTGCTGGAGGCTGAAGGGGGAAGATCACTCTACTTAGGGGGTCCTGGCAGATGTGGGAGGACAGAGGTGGCATCTGAAAAGGCCCCTAAAGATTGTAGAAGATTCAAGTACTGGGAGATTGTGGGGAGGGCATTTAAGTCAGGGGAGCTGCGTTCACAAAGTCCTGGCAGGAGAGGAAAACACAAGGCTGTTTGGGAAATAGCAGCAAAGTGGTCCATTGGACTGGAATGCAGGGTGGTGGCTCTCAACCTTTTCATCACACAGGACTTCTTTCATCATCTGAATCCATGTTTTGAGAGATTTTTATCCACAATCTCTCACTCTTGGCATGTGTTAAAGAAAAATAATTATTATTTCCCCATTTTTGTTCATCATAGATATTTAACTACTAATCAGTAACCAGTATTACCATACTGAGTCGATACACATCTTGGGGGGGGGAGGAATAAAACTTGAAGTTTTAGTTTAGTTTGGCCTCTAATTACCATATGATGAGTAAATGTTCATTTTAAATGTTCGTGGTGGTGAGGGCACTGGGCTAAAGGTAAGTACCACAGGCATAGTGCTTGTGTTGGGGAAAGACCTGGAGCAAATATAGAGCTGTGCCCTTTCATGGTCAGCTCTGAAGGCAGGAGAACAAGTGATGATTTCTTGAGCAGGGGGTGGGATACAAAGCCACAGCAGAATTTTAGGAAGATTAATCTGGCAGTGAGCAAAATGATTTGACTCCCGGGGAAACATGGCAGCAATCCTAGACTCTTCATTCTTCCTCACCTCATCTCTCATATCTAATCAATGCATCTACTTTCTAAATCAACTAAATCCCACTTCCTTCCACTCTATCTCATCATCATGTCAGTGGTCCAGACACCATCACCTCTCACCAGGATTACTACAGCAGCCTTCTAATTCCTACCCCTAGTCTTTCACCACTCTAATAATCCTTCGGATCATGAAATCCTTCATTCAAGAAGAAACACCAATAATGTTCCGTCTCTCTGAAACAGAAATCTGACCATGTCACTTTCCAATTTAAGTTTTCCATGATTGCCCGTTGCCTTTAAGTAAAGTCCAAATGCTTAACCATGAAACAGAAGGCCTGATATGACCTGAATCTGGTACCATTCCAGCCTCATCTTCTTCCACTGCCCCCACACACCCAAACCTACAGCTGCTTCCTCCTCCAATACCCAGGCTTCAGTCTTAATGTTCTCTTTCTGTGTCCTGCCCCTGGAGCCTTCATCACTTACATGGCTCCAACTATCATCCCTGGATTATACTCAAACCTCTAACTTCAGCCTTACGCTCTCTTTCTAGAGCTACCTCCACAGTTCCAGTTGCTTGCAGGGGATTTCCACTCCCACAGGACGGGCCCCCAAACTGAACTCATCATCTTCCTCCCCAAGGCCGGGAGTTCTCATGACCTCCTTCCTTATTTCTGTGTTTCTTCTGGTCAATCAGGTTAAAAACTTAAATTGGTCTTTACTCTTCACCCTAAGCCTATGCTGCATCCTTCGACATGTCGACTAAACCACCAAATTCTCTCAAGTTTCCCTTTGTTTGTTACATACCGTCAGGATCAGGAAGATTCCCTAGCAGCCCGGGACCTTTACCCACCCTTCACTCCTCTCTCCAGTCTCAAAGGGAGAGGCAACCTGTATTCACCATGTCAGTCCCTGTGACCCTTGGATCAAAATCCCAAACTGGTAGCCCCTGCTTACAGGTCACAGTCCAAACTCCTCAGCTCAACACTTGGCGTACTCCTCTGAGAGGGGAGGGAAGACAGAATAAAAGGGCAGGAGCAGAGAGAGATACCTTGTGATGAAGGAGAAGTCTCTGGAGAAGTTCTTTCCAAATGGTCTTCACTTTTTCTGTAGAGCAGAAAAGTCAACTACTAAAACTCGAGGTGGTGGTGGGATTGGGCAATTAGAAAGTGTTTAGGAGGAAACGTCTAGAATAGCAAGTGTGTAGAGATTGTGGGAAAGAACACAGATAGCTTGCATGGCACCGTCATTTTCTAATTTTGAAAGAGTGATTTAAAACTGAGATTTTCTTCTTGAGTTATGTTTTATAACATATGTACAGATATCCATCATATATATTCCTTTGTACATATCAAATGTCAGTTTTTTTATTTTTAAGTCTTTTTCCAAAGAGAAGTCCTAGAACAGTCACCAGGAGCCCAACAGGGAATCAGTAATAAAGGGCATAGGAAATTCGTATACGTGAGTGTTTACTATGCAAGATAGACATACTACTTAAGATCGGGAAACAGATTCAGTGTCTCACCTATGGTAATATAGCTAGAAAGTCTTAGATTTGGAATTTGAATCCATGTATGTTGAAACCCAAAGCTCATCTCAAGGTAACACTAGAGTGAATTTGCATGGTTGAAACATAATCTTAATTGTCAATATGAGCACACATTGGTATGAAAAATTTGCCAGGGTTGCAATCTCCAGCATCCATTGTACAAAATGGCAGTTGGGGAGCCATCTTTCTTTGAGGACCTCCCTCTCTTTCCTCACTTTAGCAAGTTCTCTCTTATTCTCAGTCACTCCTTTCTGACTCACTCCTTCAACTTTGGCCTCATCTCTCCTTTTACCTCATTTGTGATGGGGTAGGGGCTCCCTCCGAGCACAGAGGAGGAGGGTAAGGGTGAGTAGCATGCTTGGGAAGGAGACTCCACCAGTGAGCAGCAGTATGAGGGGCTTCTGCTGGGAAAAGCCAGTGTGGACAGAAGGGAAGAGGGAAGCTTTGGGTCGGGAGGCAGGAGGCGGCTCAGAATAGGCAAAACTTCACAGTCAGTCCTGAGTCAGTCAGATGCGCTGGCTAGAAAGAAAAGAGACACAGACAATGCTCACCACAAGATTCCAAAGGGCATTTTAGTGTTCGAGCCCCACAAGGCTGAACAATTTCCATTAGTAGTAGCGCACTCAGACCACAGAGGAGAACTCCAAGAAAGGGACTGAGCCTCATCCCCCTAGTCACTACTGGATCATTGTTTGGACATACCACCTCCTTTCAGTAAGTGCAGTCTACACAAACTCACATTCGTAAGCCATAAGTGAGTGGATCCTAATCACATTACCAAAGGATTCTTTCCAGAATTTATTTAACTAGGTGGTTCCTCTAGTACCTTGGGTCCAATGGATAGAAAATTCATTAACACTCAATACACTGTGGTAGGAGGGAGGCAGCAGGGAATAAAGAAACAACCAGGGACCAGAAGTCAGAAGGCCTGGGTCTTAGTCCTGTCTGTGCTCTTGGGACCCATCTTTTACCTGTAAACTGCTGGCGATCCATCCCTTACCTGTAAAGGACTTAGGACCCATCCCTTACCTGTAAAGGACTTAGGACCCATTCCTTACCTGGAAAGTGAGGACTAATTCTGGATTACTTCTAAATGCTATGACTTCTTAATCCTAGTCTACTCCCACTCAACCCTACAAAGCAAGGTAGACCTGTGTATGAGAAGGCTCTGATCCCCTTGCTCTGCTGAAAACAGCCGGAAGACCAGCCAGAGCCTCAGCCTCAGGAGGCCGGTGGGGCTCCATCTGTCCTGGATCTGTGCTCTGCTTCTCCTCATTTCACTCTGATCTCCAGCTACATCCATTCCTTCAAACACATGCTCCCTCGGCTCTTAGTTTTCTAGGGCTCCATCTCCCTTGAACTTACAGAAATTGTTATAATCTACCTGATTGGCCCTCCTGCTCCATTAAGCCCATATCCTCAACCATCTCCTGTATTCCCCATCGTGATTCCTCTCCCACTTCCAACCTTTTACCCAAGAAGTCCCATGATCTTGCTCAAGGAAACCTTCCCAGAGGGGCTGATCCCAGGGCTGCCACATACTGTTGTACAGTTAGTGGACTGCACAAAGGCACCGACTGAGGGGGCAAACTGAGGACTGAACCGTGTTCAGTTTGCCAATCCTTGCACCATGGCTCAGAGTAGTGTCTATTGGAGGGATTCCCGTTGTACTGCTTTACCACGTACCACTTGCTGCATGCCATAGGAATGCATCTGCCCAGAAAGGGTTCCTCTTTTCTATTTTGTACCAAGGTTCTTTATAGACCAGCAATGTGACCCCGCTGTGCCCCTCCTGCCCTGCTCATTCCCCAGTTCCAAACCCAATCTCCTGTCATCACAAACGTACTGACATATTTTACTGATTTTTTTGTAAAGTTGCTTTCTTTATCTCATAATACCTGAAAGCTGGGATCTTGCCTATTTTTCTGTACCCTGTTATCCAAGAAAACGTGTTTTTTTTCTCACTCTGTTCAGGTTCAGTGATAAACAAGGAACTGGGGTTAGATACCAGGTAAAGTCCAGGACCTGCAGGCTCTATAAAGCAGGGGAGGGGGTAGTGGTCTCCTTCCTTGTCAGCAAGGATCTGCTCAAGGCAGCCCAGACGAGGTGGGGAGGGGCTGGCTGATACATCTTCTGGAGGGCCCTGCCAGCCCTGTGGTTTCCTCCTCCAGGAAATGGGGCCAGTTCTATGTAAATACGTTCTTGCCCAGGAGTTTGGTTTCTTGTCTTTGAACTCCTGGCACAGTGGAACCAACATGAGCAGCCGCTTGGCAGGACAGAGAAGGGCAGGCTAGCAGTCCCAAGGCTCAGGTGACAGGGCCAGGCCCAGGAGACGGGGATGCTGACTGGGGCTTTAACAGCCCTCCTGATGCCAATCTCAGGCTGAAAACTCGATATTTCCACTTGGAACAAGAAACACAGGCCAGAGGGCTGGGGAGAGGAGGGTAGTGCACCAAGAGTGCCCCCTGCAGGTCTCACTGGGTAGCACCAGAACAGAGGAGGGTGGCACAGGCGGGTAGGGATTTCAGGAGATGCCAGAGATGAGAACGATGATGGTGAGAAGACAGAGTTAGCATTTACTGAGTACTTACCATGTGCCAGCCATTGCCTCACGTAATCCTCATGACAGCCCCCAAGAGATGGATAATACATTGTTCTCAGTTCTTTGATGAAGAAACTGTTCAGAGAGGTTAAGTAACTTGCTCAAAGTAACCCAGCTAATAGTGGACAGAGTTGGGAATTAAACCCAGGCCACTGCTTCCTGAGACAATGTTACTCCATACCACCTTTTCCACCTTACCAGATCATCCAGGAACTTCTAACCCTCTAGTGTCCATTTCCACATCCTCCCCCTCTAGCTTATGTCTTTTCGTTCCAACTGTAAGGAATCTGCAGAAGAACTGATCGATGTATTGAGTGTAATAATATTCATGATAACACCTGGCATTTGTCTACCGCTCTCTGTTTTTAATTATTTCCCCCAGGGAAAATGAGCACTGAAGTCTTTCCATTTCTCTCATTTTTTTTCTGATTTTTATCACTGCTCTTGAGGCTGTTTCTATAGAGTTATGATCAATTTATAAGAATATTTTTATGTTCTGGTTTTTATGTAACAGCGCGCCTCCATGCACATTGACATATATGAACATAGTAACCAATTGTATTGCTTGGCCACAAATACTGCATTCCTGACGCAGCGCGTCTTTGTGAAGAGAGCATGAGGGTGTGACACAGATGTGTGAGTGTGACTGCTCTCTCTGCTGATAGCCAACTCTGTGACATCTGGTAAACCACTTAGCCTCTCTCAGTTTTAGTTTTCTCAGCTATAAACAGAGAAAATAACACCTGTCTCACAGGGTATCTCTCTGGGTTGTCAAATGAAGTGTGTGTCTAGCTCACAGCTGACATTCAATGAATTCTTAGTAATAGTATTAGTATTCTGTGTTTACGCCTTTCTCTTCCACTGGACCATGAGCTCCTGGTGGGCAGGGACTTACTCGTTTCTGTAACCATCCCCACCAAGCACACTGCCTGGCACTTGGGCTCCACAAAAGTTTGTTGAATGAAGAGTTAGGAAGCCCTAATCTAGCCTTTTCTCTCTGTTGGACATCTGGCTTGTTTCTAAACGTTTCACTATTAATGAATTACACTTCAAAGCCCTCCTATTTATATTGACTCGTTGGAGCTGCACACCCTGTGAAGGAGGTGGAAAGGGGCTATTTGCACATGTTCACACCCTGTGAAAGACAGAGTGGCTGAGGAAAGTGAAGTGACTCCTGCGGGTCACACTGCCAACTAGTGATAAAGTTAGAACACCTGGCCCTACCCCTCTTCCTTGGATGGATCGGTACCAGGGTGGTCTCTCCAAAATTGGAGACTGCGATGGCGGGCCTGATCTGAGAGCTGCACATGCACCCAGAGGCCCCGCTGGAGGTGAGGAGCCTCCCAGGTGGCCCTCTGAATCTCCAGAAAACCAAATGCCTTATTCCCAAACACATCAGGGCCTGTATTTTCCCAGAGCAAGGTGCTTCTTAGGAAAGAGCCAGCATGCCAGCTTTTCTTTTCTTTCTTTCTTTTTTTTTTTTCCTGCCTGAGGGGGTGAGGAGGCGAGCTCTGAGTTGTCCAGGAGGAGGGACTTTGGCTAAAAATAGCTATGGCGTGTGGATCAGCCTCTAGTGGTACCCAGGACTGATGAGGGGAGGGGGATGCTCTAGAGCTGTCGCCAGACTGGTTGCTGTGGAAACAGGAGAGGAGCAGGGGAGCCTGGGAAGTGGGGATGACACAGATAGCAAGTCCTAGTCAGAGCTGCCGCTACATTTAGGAGACACAGCGGTGCCTGCGGCTCCCACCCTCCAAGAGGGCTGGGGTGGGGGGGCGGTGTCAGGGGCATGGACGCTACCCCTCAGGGGTCTCTGCTGCCGGCTACTCTCCTCTCCACAAGCTGTGAGTTGAGTCGCGGGGGACCTGGGTTTGGGCCCCTATTTCCAAGGCAAGTGGGGGTTTGGGAAGAGCTGGTTCCTGAGGGAGTTTTCACCAAATTCCCTTCCAAAAGATAAGCCCCCTCACTGGCCAGCCCTCCATAGTGGGAGAAAAGGAGATCCAGGAAAATGCGGCACTGGGGTCTTCTGGAAAGGGGTCACAGCATGCACACGAAATAAAGAGGCATAGGCTGGAGGAACAGGAATCTTTGGAGGGAAGGTGTAGAAATCAAGTCTTTGCTCTGGGACAGATGAACAATTTTACACCTTCCCTTTCCCATTGAGAAAAATGCAGCCCCCACTCAGGAATAGGAGATGGGACACAATCAAAGTAAGGTTCACCTAGATCCCTGGGGTAACAGAGAGTGAAAGAGTTCTAGGGGCCGTCAGACTCTGGAGTTTCTTCCCACACTTGGGCAGAGAGATCTGTCTAAGCAGACAGATTGGGGGGTCAGACTACCTAAGACCCTGAGAGAATATCTGGAAGCCCACCTCCCGCTGAAGCTGGAATGAGAGGGCGCAGGTACTTTTCTGCATGACCTGGGATCTCTAAGCAATCAATGCTAGAGATCACTTCTGGAGGACATCCTGGGCTGCAGGGAGGGAAAGGCAAACTCATCGCTGGGGGAGGAGAAGACCCTAACCTGCCATTGCATTCAGGTTCCTGGACCCTGTGTCCCCTGACTCCTCCAGGAAAATAAATGTGGTGAATGCCCCTAAGCTCCAAGCCACATCATTTTGGTTTCTCCTCCTCCCTTCTACCCTAGTACACACACAAACACACACACACACACACATATACACACATGCACACTCCAAAGGTCTGGCTGCAGAGTGCCTCACTCTAGAACTTAAATTTGGAAGGGCTGGGTTTGGAACTACAATCCAGGCAGTTTCTCCCCAGGACCTGGTCACACATCCAGGCCATCTGTGATCCTTATGTCACTGTCTTCCCTTCCAACCCCCCCACCTCCGCCAGCTAGCCCAAGTTTCCTTGGAGTGGGGGAAGAGGATGATTCCCAGGATGAAGGGAAGGTTGAAAAGTCTTGAATCCTTATTCTTAACCAGGAGGAATTTAAAGTAAAATCAGGTAGGCTTCCCTTAGAGTTTGAGATTTGGGGCATATGGAGGCAGCTGTTGTGAGGATAGTCCAGGGAGGTAGAAGCCTGGGGGGAAAGAACTAAGGAAGGAGGGAGTTAAATGTGGGTGCTTAGTGCTTCACTTGTCTCATTTAATGTCTCGTGAAGAATAGGGTACTAGAGGGGATAAAAGCCTAATTTTGGTGAACTCTGTGCTTCCTTAACCCTGGCTATCTGGGTTGATCTCATATCCAGTCCTCCTGCCCATCTGCAGGCTGTCTCCACTGTGGAAAGAACCCGGGGAAATGGGGATGACATTACAGGCGCAGTGATCATGGTTCGTCCTCAAGGAGGATTTCCAGTGGGAATTTCCTAAGGTGGGATGTTCAACCCGTGCCCACTGGAGATTTTTCACTTACTTTCCACCACTTTCATTTCTGCTTTGCAAGCTTGTGGAGAGGAAGATGTGGGAGGGGGCAGAGTAAGCGAGGTCCAGGGAAGCAGGAATGGGAAAGACTTTCTGTCAGTCTTGGGGTGAACTTCAAAAGAGCCTGGTTAGATGGCAGGTTGAACTGCGGAGACCAGTGATTTGGGGACTGCGCTGACATTAGCTGGGATTGGCGGGGAGTGGGCGAGGAGGCCTTGACCTTCAGGCAGGGAGGGTTCTACACAGGAGAGGAAAACTAACCGCCTGCCTCCAAGAAGCTCACAGTCTAATGATTTCAGGAAACTCCCTCCCTGATTTGACCTCTTGCTCGGGGATGCCAGTGAGGTGCTGCACAGCCCAGTTAGAGGCAGTAGGACCGAGGTCTCTCGTATCCCCCTCCCCTGAAAACAATCAGCCTCGCATTGTGCGATCCCATTCATAGACCCTATCGCATTGGATTCTTACGATGTTGTAAGCTGGGGGTGGGGGTAGCTAAGGTTGTGCATATCATTCCCATTTTCCCGACGTGGCAGTTGAGGCTGGGGCCACCCCGCCCCTCAGCGCTAGCCTGGAGGTCTCGGCCTCCCCCGCGAGTCGGTTCATCCGGGCCCACCTTTCAGCCCCTCCAGGCCCCGCGCCGCCGCCGCCCGGGCCGTGACCTCGCCCGCCGCCGCCGCCATGGCGCAGGAGAACGCCGCCTTCTCGCCGGGGCCGGAGGAGCCGCCGCGGCGCCGCGGCCGCCAGCGCTACGTGGAGAAGGACGGCCGCTGCAACGTGCAGCAGGGCAACGTGCGCGAGACGTACCGCTACCTGACCGACCTCTTCACCACGCTGGTGGACCTGCAGTGGCGCCTGAGCCTGCTCTTCTTCGTGCTGGCCTACGCGCTCACCTGGCTCTTCTTCGGCGCCATCTGGTGGCTGATCGCCTACGGCCGCGGCGACCTGGAGCACCTGGAGGACACGGCGTGGACGCCGTGCGTCAACAACCTCAACGGCTTCGTGGCCGCCTTCCTCTTCTCCATCGAGACGGAGACCACCATCGGCTACGGGCACCGCGTCATCACCGACCAGTGCCCCGAGGGCATCGTGCTGCTGCTGCTGCAGGCCATCCTGGGCTCCATGGTGAACGCCTTCATGGTGGGCTGCATGTTCGTCAAGATCTCGCAGCCCAACAAGCGCGCCGCCACGCTCGTCTTCTCCTCACACGCCGTGGTCTCCCTGCGCGACGGGCGCCTCTGCCTCATGTTCCGCGTGGGCGACCTGCGCTCGTCGCACATCGTCGAGGCCTCCATCCGCGCCAAGCTCATCCGCTCGCGCCAGACGCTCGAGGGCGAGTTCATCCCGCTGCACCAGACCGACCTCAGCGTGGGCTTCGACACGGGCGACGACCGCCTCTTCCTCGTCTCGCCGCTCGTCATCAGCCACGAGATCGACGCCGCCAGCCCCTTCTGGGAGGCGTCGCGGCGCGCCCTCGAGAGGGACGACTTTGAGATCGTCGTCATCCTCGAGGGCATGGTGGAAGCCACGGGTGCGGGCGGGCAGATGGAGGCGGGGAGCGGGGTGGGAGGGGAATTGGACTTACAGGGTCCAGGGAGGAGGAAGGCAGGCGGGGAGGGATGGAGAGACTGGTGGAGGATGAGAGATTGAGGTGAGATGGGGATCTGGGTTGGGAGGAGTGTGTGAACTGAGTGATCCCGCAGAGAGCGAAGAGAAAGCTTGGAGGAAGTCTCCGAAGTGGCCCTGAGCAGGGGCCCTGGGCTGAGCGGTCTGGGCTGCTGGCAATAGGGGAGAGTAATAATCACATCTAACACCCAGTGCTTTCTCTGTCCCCTGCCCGATTCCAAAGCACTTTGCACCTCTGAGTTCATTTACTCTGAACCCCATGAGGAACCCCATGAAGGTAACTTCTTGTTACAGTGCTCATTTTTCAAAGAGGAGATCGCCCCACTGAAAGGTTAAGTTGTCCACAGCCACCCGCTAGATAAGTGGCCGTGTCTGTATTGGACACAGGCGTCTGGCTTCAGTGTTTAGGGTGCAGAGTAGGATGGAGGGGTTGGGTGCAGGATTTTTCTCACTGCTGAGAGATCCAGGTCCCCGGAACTTGATGGTGTAGGTTCTCGATGGCCTGAGTTATTCCTAGGCTGAACCTTAGGGAGAGGTTGCTAGTCTCACTTCTGCCTCAGTTTCCCCATCCGTCGTAAGGCTCAGTTTCCACTGAAAAAGGAAACAGATGATCTGAACATTTCTAGCCCCTTTCCAGAAGAAACTAGCAATGCACCTGTGTTGTCAGAGCCTCCAACTCAGACCTACACAGTGAAAGGTTTGGGAAGGTAGGACAAAACCAGTGCAGGGGCTGCAGATGAATCTTTCAGGATCTAGAAACAGAAGAAAACTGCAAGGGAACCAAAAGCCACCAGGGGGCCCTGAAGCTCCTGCCACTGTTGCCAGAGTGTTGCCCTCTGCTGGCTTCTCCCATATTGGTGCTTTCAAACCGCTATCCTAGCCCCTCACACAAGCCTCTATGTCACCCATCTCTGCCCCAGTGTTCCCACTTCTTCTCCCCCAGCCCCCAGTACTCCCCCTAGCTCCTTCTCCTTACCCGACTCAGCCTATTTCCTCTCCTCTCATCTCACCAGTTGGCACTCTTTTACTAAGGCCTGACATAGCCCCTCTCCTTGCCGAGAAGTCCCTGCCAAACCCGCTTCTCCCTTTGTCCCACCAGCCCCTCCTTCTCTTCCTCAAATCTCCTCCCTTCCCCGTGTCCCTTTTGCCTCTTCTTCGCCTCCTCTCCTGGTTATTTCCTGTTCCATCCTTCACCAAAGTAACAAGAACACTAGTGTCCCCAAGCTGGCTCAGGGCAGGACTTTCAGTGCTGAGAGCCAGTCTCTGGTCAGCTAATGTTCCCTCTGCTGGGCCCCCTTGTCCTGAGGTGGACATGAGCTAAGAGGGATATGGGAGACCCCAGGGCAGAAGGAGAATCTCTTGCCCTGGTGGGAAGACAGGACACAGGCCAACGGCAAGAAGGACGGGGGTGGTGAAGGGTGGAGGAGATAGGCGTGAGAGCTTGTCAGATTTTTCTAGAGAGACAAAGCTGGAAAGGATGGTAATATTTTGGGTGAGAGAGTCAGTATCCGAAATGCTTCTGAAAAGCAAGTATAATGAGCCAAAATCCAACAAGATGACATTTAAAAGGAATAAATATAAAGTTCTACATTTAGGCTTTAAAAAAATCACTTATGTAAGCACAGCATGGAAGCGCTCTGGGGGAAAAAGAACTGGGGGTTTTAGTTGGCCACAGGCAATGTTGTACAGCTTCCAAAAATGTTTATGTAATGTAATCTTGGGCTCTGTTAGCTAAAGCATCTCATGGCAAGAAGAGAAAGGTGGTGAGCCCTCTCCTAGGCATGGACCTGGCCACAACTGGAGTATTTATCACACTCGAAGTCCTTAAAGGATCCTCCTTGGTCATTCTGGTTTGCAGTCCAAAGAGTAAAAATTTTGGAATCCAGGTTACATCAGGAATGGTGAAGGGAGACAGGGATGTTCAGCCTGAGGAAGAGAAGGCATGATGGAACCTGAGACTCTGGCTTTCAAATACTTGAAGGGGTGACATATGGCAGGGGAATGAAATCAAGGGAGGCAGGTTTTAGCTCTAGATAAACAACAATTCAACTTTTAGAGCCATCACACAAAGGAGTGGGCTTCTCATGAAGTGGTGAGCTCTCAATCCTGGGAGGTACGAGCTAGATGCCCATTCTTGGGAGGGCTCTGGTGAGGAGCCTGGTATAGAGAGGGAAGTTGGACTGGATAATCCCCAGGGTCAGTTTCAAGGTTAAGTTCTCTGACTGGCATCTCCAGTGGAGAGGAGGGGAGTGTGTGAGCTGCAGATGAGGAAGAGTTGGGGCAAAGGGAGAAGAGGAGGCAGAGCTGGGCAAGCCAACAAGAGTTGGGAAGGAGGAGAAAGTGGGCTGAACCACGGGGGTGGGACCCTTGGGGAGGGGTCAAGAGAGGGGTTCTAGGTATAGGATTGTGGAATGAGGCAGGAGAGGGAAGGCTGGGGGTGGGATCCCCCTTGACCGGTGCCCCTCCCCCCAGGAATGACATGCCAAGCTCGGAGCTCCTACCTGGTGGATGAGGTGCTGTGGGGCCACCGCTTCACGTCTGTGCTGACCCTGGAGGATGGCTTCTACGAGGTGGACTATGCCAGCTTCCACCAGACCTTTGAGGTGCCCACACCCTCGTGCAGCGCCCGGGAGCTGGCTGAGGCCGCCGCCCGCCTTGACGCCCATCTCTACTGGTCTATCCCCAGCCGGTTGGATGAGAAGGTGGAGGAGGAGGGTGCAGGGGAGGGGGCAAGTGAAGGGGCTGGGGCTGACAAAGAGCAGAATGGCTGCCTGCCACCCCCAGAGAGTGAGTCCAAGGTGTGACCAGTTTCCTCCAGACCCCTGTGGTGGGGCCAGACACAGGTATCTCGGGAGCTGGGTATCGGAGGTGGAGGAAGCAGGCAAGGTCCCTGGGGATGCACCAAAGAGAGCCCCCTCAGAATCTCAGGTCTAGGATCCAACATGGAAGGGAGGGATCCTGATTTCAAAAGAATAGAGGGTGAGATGGGTGAACTTACCAGCCTGTCTGTGTTTGACCTTCACATCTGTTCATGGGTCGATGAATGGGCAGGAGGGTGGACCTACGTAGGGTCCGTGGGAAGACGGAAGCAGAGGGAGACAGCAGGTGGATAGGTCAATGGACCAACAGACAGGTGGTGCACTCTGGGCTGCCGCTAACTCACAGAGCATCTCTGTGCAAATTCTAAAAAGGCACTCTTTTCCTCCAGACTGACAACACCTCAAACCAGAGTGTATGGCTTGGGGAGCAGGGTGTAGGCTGGATTTTAGTCCCCACTCACCTTGTCAGCCAGCCGGCCTGTGTGTGGCACACCTGTCTCACTGGACACAGTAGCCAAGCTGACCCAGAGGAGAGAAGGCTGGACAGAGGCGGACAGAGATAAGGCGGGTGCCCTCCCAGCTCCACCCCCACCGCTGCAACAGGCTGATAGGGAGGGCGAAAGGCTGCAGGGGCGGCCCAGCCGTGTGTGCCAGGAAACAGGCCACGTGGGAGATGCCTGAGCTGGGGCCCCAGGAGAGGGAGACTGGGGTGGCTCTTTTCTGACTGTGGAGGGAGATCTCATAAGTACCACTGCAGAGGCAGGAGGGGAGAAAGAAGTTCTGAGGATGAAGAAAGGCCCGGGGAGAGCTGGGACACGGCCCTCAGCAAAGCAGAATTAGTCTTAGGGCACAGTGAGAAGGAGTCACTCAGATGGTTCACTGGGTGCCCACTGAGTACAGAGCACTGACCCGGGCGTATGTCGGGAGGACAGTCAGAGCCCCGATTCCTATCCTCGGAGTGGAGTGAATGTGGGAAAGACAGAAGTACGCCTGCAGCAACTGTTTCAAACTGAGAGTGTGGGCGATCTCTCGGAGCAGGGGGTGGGAGAGTTTGGTCATCCGAAAGCTAGGGATTGAGTCAGACCTAGAGACTGACGGAGCAGGCGGTCATGAACTTGGGTGGGCCTCACAGCCACCGGGAGGGCTTGGAACACAGGTGGCTGGGCCCTGCTGCCAGAGTTTCTGACCCCATAGGTATGGGATGGAGACCAAAACTTTGCATTTCTAACTAGTCACAGGTCGTGCTCACGCTGCTGGAACAGGGACCATGCTTTGAGATGCCCCGCCCTAAGCAAAGACCTGGAGGTCCTGTCAGGAAGGGGGGCATGCCAGGAGAGGCTGAGGCTCCTTGGGGAGGAGACTGAGATATCATGGGTGGAGAATTGTCGGGGATGGGGGGCAAGGGGACCCTGAAACCCAGGCCGAAGAGTTTAACTCTGGACCCAGGGACTCACCCGTCATTGGAAATAGGGTGTTGACAAGAGGACAAGATGGCGTTTTGGAGACAAGCAGGCAAGACAGCTAGGACGGAGCCGTCGGAAGGCCTTCGGGGGAGCCCCGCGGGGGCTGGGGGGGAGCCGAAACAGGGAGGACATCAGTGGCAAAAGGTGGAATCCCTCATAGGATTTAAGATGCAGGATTAAATGTGGGAGAAAACGTGAGAGAGAAGTGAGGAGTCCGGACATCCGGATGTGGCAGTGGCCTGCTACCTGCCCAGCTAGGACAAGAGCCCCAGAGACATGTTCCCGTGCCACGTGCACTCCTTGCTGGTGTCATCCCAGGCACCAGGACAACCTCCCAGGATGGTAACGGGAGACAAGGGGTGGAGGGAAAGGGGACCTGAGGCTGAGAGAGAAGCGTGCGCACAGGCGGACACGCCCTTCGGCAGCACTGGCCCCGCAGTGACCGTCCCTTGGCCCTGGCTACCCCCACTCCTGTCCTGTAATGAAAGTCTGAGCCTGGTGAGGGGAAGCACCCCAGAGTGCTCCATTCCAGACTGGGAAGCTGGGGTCCTGTGGGACGCTGTGCCTTCTGGAAGCAGGAAAGGGGGCCATGGAGGGAGCCAACACCAGCTTGTGTCCACTCAGAGAGGTCACCCTTTGCCTCAGGTCACAGGGTCACCTGGGTCACCAGCAGTCAAAGATGAGGCCCCTGAACCCTGGCGCTGGCTGTTCTCAAAAGAACAAGTACTAGGGTATGGGATGGAGAGCGATTTTGGTCTAACTTGGTGGAACGGCTCGAGTCTGCGCAGGAAGGAGTGGGCTGTTGGTATCTACACACGCTCACATGGTAGTGAACCCACCGCAAGCGAGCCCGATGAGAGGAGCTGAGGCTGGATGGAAGGCACTGAGACCCCGCCACACCTCTCCTCGCCACTTGGCCACCGCTCAGGGCACCCCTGTGTACAGTGCAAGGAGTCCGGAGACCTGGTTCTCGTCCTGACGCTATCACTAGTCAGTTCCATGACTCTGGGCAAGTCACATCACTTCGCTGGGTCTGTTTCCCCATCTGTAAAAACAACGCTTAGGAAACCAGTGATGCTCAATAAATGTTTAAATAACTGAATTGAAAGAGGTAGACTGGGCATCTCTTAAGGTGCAGCACAGCTGAGAATTCTAGGATCAGAGAGTCCTAAAGCAAAGACAAATGCAGGGAGCCCCGGGGACATGGCGGGGCAGGGTGAGGCAGGGCTGTAGGGGCGGGCACGTGCAGGGGCTCTGTGGACGCCCGGGCCCTCTTCTGACGGCTGTCATCTGTGCCACTCAGGCGGCTGTGTTCTGGGACTTCCATTCTGCTGCTGTCAGACAGAATAATGAAGATCAGGAGGAAAAAGCCTGAGGCCCCAAGGCCTGGTGGGAGGAGTCAGGTCCAAGGTTAGCCAGACGGGGAGAAAGAGACTAGGGAGTAGTGCGGGAGCTCAGAAAAGGGCACTGGGGGCCTGGAAACCCCTTCTATGCAGCAGGAAGGCATCTGGGAGCAGAGGCTGTGCTCAGCTGGAACTCACCCCCTCTTTCTCTGCTCCCCTCCCCAAGTAGGTCCCAACAGGAATTGGCTCAGCACTGACAGCTCAGACAGCAGATGGGACCCAGGTGTCCCCTCCTAGGGTGGGTGGCACGGCCCACGAAGGCCAGATGGTGTTTGTGGTGGGAAGAGAGGCCTGGGTCGTCCAGAATAGGTTGTCAGCCCCCAGCAACCTCTCTGCCACACATCCCAGCCTCTTACAGCCTCATGGCAGGGAAGACACAGCCAGCCGTGAATTTTATAAAATAAGTTTATTCACATTTTAGAAAAACTAATTCTAGGCTAGGGAATGGCCTCCCTCTGGGCTGGGTATGAGATCCTGAACAGAAGGCCAGAGGGAGGGGTTTGGGAAGGAAAGAGTGGCCAGGTCCCCCACTGTGGGTGGGAGTAGATCAAATAAATTAAAGGAAGGGCAGGCAGAGGGAGAGGGTCTCCAGGCACCAGAGGAGGGCTTGCGGCTGGGCTGGGAGAAAGTCACACCTGCAAGAACCGGAGAGTGCGTGGAGCAAGCTAAGAAGAGAGCCCTGAGTGTGACTCCCTCCTGGCCCTCTCCCGCCTGCCCCGCCCACCCGGTTACAGGGTCCTGCAGAGCCCAGAGGGGCTGCTCCTTCTCCAGGTGGGGCAGGGGAAGAGCCGCTCATCTCAGGACTTGAGAAGACAGGGCTGGGGTTGCAAGTTTTTGCCCCTCACCTGGGGAGCAAGGGATCACCGTTTCTGCAGCCTCTTCATGAAGCAGCAGGTGATGGTGCCGAGGATGGTGGCGCCGATGACTACAGCCACCCCTGCACCCACCAGCAGGGGCACAAACAGGGTGTCCAGGGCTAGGCAAGAGATGATGGCTGTGTTCAACCTGGGGTGTTCACCCACGGTCCTACCTGCATGCCAGCACCTTCTCTCTCAAGCTGTCCCCACCACCTCCTCCCATTCACACACAGCCTTCCCCTGCCCACTCCCTGCCTTCTCTGCACTCCCCCACCACGAGGACCCTGGGGGAGCCGGCCGGCCCTGAGGGGCTGAAAGCTGGACTTTCGAGACTCTTCAGGTGAAGTGACTTGGAGAAGAAAGAGGGACCGGTAGCAGGAGGGCCCAATGGAGGGGAAGAGCAAGTGCATGGGCCTGGAGCGGGGCGTAAGCAAGGAGGGGAGGGTGGGAGTCACTCACCGTGCGTGTAGGGGTAGACGGTGACAGGCCCTGAGCGGGCGCTGCCCGCCTGGTACCAGCTGTAGTCAGCATGCTGCACCCAGGCGCTGGGGGCACAGTGGTATACGCCTTTGTCCTCGGGCCCCAAGCCGTGGAGTCTCAGCCGATGGCTTCGGGGCCCCACCAGCTCCACGCTGACAGGGCCTCCTCCAGGCCGGACCCCCAGCTCTGCCACACCGTCCTGGCCCACGCCACCCACCAGCTGGGCAGGGCCAGAGCTCAGCTCTCCCTCCTCTGGCCGCTCCACCCACCAGCTGGCAGCCAGCCGCAGCCCTGGGGGGCCGCCCCGCACAGAGATGTTGCAGAGCAGGGAGGCCGTCTCCCCACGGTACACTGCGCCTCCTGCTAGCCAGGCCACAGCCTCTAGCACCACACCTGCCGAACAAAGGACAAGGGGTCAGAAGGTGAAGGGACAGAGGATGTAGGGTTAGGACCACTGTCCAAGCAACACCCAGAAGTTCAAGGTATTTCCACAATCTTAGAAGAGGAATGTAAGACTGAGGCATGGAGGCAGCTGATGGAGAGGGAGAGAGGCATAGAAACAGAGGGGAAGGTTCTGTCTAGGGCCCAACTCACCCTCCTTACCTTCTTCCCGCACGTGCACAGGGAGGGGCCGGGAGCGGGCACTGGCTGCTTCACGAAGCCGGGCCCCAGACCCGCGGACATAGGCCTTGGCGAGGCAGCGGTAGGTACCCGCATCCCCAGGCCGGGCGGCCTCCAGCCGTAGCCGGTAGGTTCTGGAAGCCACCTTCTCCATGGCAATGTGCCGGCCCTCGTAGCCAGGGCCCAGGCTGCCCACACCCTCTGTGTCCAGCTGGGCGACCAGACGGCCAGGCCCAGGTGCTCCTGCAGGTGCCATCTCCCAGCCCACGGAGTACGCAGCATGACGGCCTGGTGGGGGCAGGGCCCCTGACACATTGCACAGAAGCTCCAAGGGCTCCCCTGGGCCAATCCGGCGCTCACCAGGCCCCACTGTCACTGCGAGCTGGCTAGCTGAAACACAGGAGGGGAAGGGGGTGTCATGGAGGCAGGAGAGGGCACAGAACACCCAACACCCCAAACACAGCTCCTTCTGGACAGCAGCAACTTCAAGGCCCTCCCACTCAGGGGCCTGCAGCTCTCACCCCTCAGCCTCGGCCCTCCTGTCTCCACACCGTTTCTGAGCAAAGAAAACCCACCATGTGTTCGGGTGCTCATGGGAAGCGACGCTAATGGAACTGCTCGGTCTAGGGAAGGTGGGCTCCCTGGAGTCAGATGATGGCCATCTAGTGGCCCTGGTAGTCAGGGTGCCCACTGAGGTACCATGGCTCCCAGCTGGCACCATGGGACCTGTAGCACTCACACAGCGTCTGCACGTCCACCTGGGCCAGGACAGCCCTCTTCTCTGCAATCTGAGCCCAGCTGCCATCAGGATCCTGAATCCACTCGGCGGCAGTGCAATGGTAGGTGCCCGCATCCTCCGCCTGGGCTCCCCCCACCACCATGCGGTACCGCTCAGTCCCCTCCTTGCCCAGCCGCAGCTCCCCCGCAGCCAGCCGCTCAGCATATGGAGCTCCGGCCTCCACAGCCAGGTCGGGCCGGAGTCCCACCACCTCCTGCAGAGTCGCTCGCCCCACTGGCACCTCGGGCACAGCTCGCCCGAAGGACACAGCCAGGTGTGTGTGCTTCTGCGTGCTCGTTCGAGCCAGGCAGCCCAGGGCCAGCTCTTGTCCCTCGTGCACCGTCAGGCGAGGGGGTGAAGTTGAGGCCTGACGGCCTCGGGGCCCTGGTGGGGTAGCAGATACCTGCAGCATATCTGGAAGAACTGGAGAGAACAGCTGAAGTGAAGGAGGGCTGGGAGCTGTTGGCCCTTGTTACTGCTCCCTACCTACAACCTAATTCCCTGAAAGACTGTGAGCTGGAAGGCAGAGACTTCGTGTTGTATTATTTCTTCTGTAACCCAGTGGTGCCAAGCACAAGGCTGGGCACACAACAGGCACTCAATAAATACTTGCTGAATTTCATAGAACAGCCCATCGCCTACTCACCCTTATGTTTCAGACTGACCCCTGTTTGAAATACTCAGAAAAGTGGCTCTGTCTTCTTTCTCGGAAGACAAAGAAACTTAAGAGAGCAAGAATGTCACATGTTCTCACTCCTTCTGCCCGGCCTCTACTTTCTTCCCCTTCTCCCCCAGATCTGGATCCTGGGATCTCCAGGAATGGAGTCTCTTCACCCTATCAGGCTTCCCCACTATAACAGGGAATAAAAAGGGGGCTGGACGGCTTAAGGCCATTTCCCCCTCTCCCAGAAGGAAGCTTGATGGAACAAGAAGAGCAATGGCCTGGAGTGTGGAGATCTGGGTTAGAGTCCCAGACCAGCTGCTAACTTGCTGGGTGACCCCCTGAAAGTCAGTTAACTTGGTTGGGCCTCAGGTTCCTTGTAGGTCCCTCCTGGCCCTGATTTTCTGCCTCTGGGAGGGTGTGGCCCCACCCGCATCCCAGGGCCCAGTACCTCTCAGTTCCACTTTGCCGCTGTAGCTGCCCAGGTAGCGGGCATCAGTGGAGGGTGTGTAGCACTCGTAAATGCCAGCATCCTGGGCCTGCAGGCGGGCAATCTTGAGCACCACGGCATCACCCTGCAGACGCTGCACCTGCACCTCACCAGCTGCCACTCGGGGCCCGAAGACAGCGTAGGAGAACCGGGGGTCCCTGGTACTGACAATGCCCAGAGCAGCCTCTGGGGCCTCGGGCCTGTACAGGAACCACTCAAAGTCCTGCTGGGCGGGACCCTCGTAGCCACTGACGTTGCAGGAGATGGAGATGGCTGTGCCAGCCACACGGTACAGGGGCCCCTCAGGGACCAGCACCTCCCGGGCGCAGCAGCCGACTCCTATAGGGATAGACAGGAGAAGTTAGGGATGCCTGCGCTCCCACTGCATCCCCCTGCCACCCACATACTTGTCCCTGCTTATGAAGGGAAAGGAAACCTGAGAAAAGTTGGTATACAGCTTGGACCTTGCTCTGACCTGAGAACAGGGTATGGGTGCTGGGAGGTAAGACATCTGGGTCTCAAGGAGGTGGTGGTATAGAGCCAGGTTTGCCTCAGAACCCAGAAACATCCCGTTACTGGCAGGCCAGAAGCAGAGCGCGTAAGGGCTTTCAGGAGTGTATCTGCTTCCTGATTTAACCTGTCCTTGATTCCAGCCCTACCTTGATTCCCTCCCGCTATTTCCCCCATGTCTGGGGGGCGTGGTCAGTGGAGCCTTCTAGCTAAAGGATCCTGAGACTACATGTCTCCCTCCTTTGTTTGAAGGGAACTGGCAAAATCTTGCTCAGAAGGGCTGGTTGGCTCAGCTGTATCACCTGGGCCAGGGGACTCCAGACAATGGAGCCAGTGGCCCGAGCAGGACAGGGCACAGACTCAGCCCGTTCTCACCACACGATCCCTCCTCCCTCCAGCTGTGCCATGAGCTCACTGCTTCTCCACAGCACAGGGCTGCCGAGGCAGCTGGGGCTCATGGGGCAAGAACCAGCCTCTGCCTTGGCTTCTGGGGGCAGAAGATCCTCTCCCCAACCAGTGCCTGCCAATCTTCCCGGGCAGACCCAGCTGACACACAGTCCTCCCCCCAACCCCATCCCACCCCACCCCACCCCACAGCTCCCTAACAAGAGCCTTCATTTGCATTTGATGTGCATTCATTTACTTTGGTAAGGAGGCAATAAACCCCCAGCTGCCCCTTCCCATCTTTCTCTCCTTAAAGAGGCCAAAACTCTCTCCTTCACCCCACCTCCAAACCCAGGCCCTACCCTGCCCTCACAGTTACTCCTGGTGGCCTTGGAGGACTCAGCTTCTCCCTCCCTTCCTTCCAATCTTCCATAGCCCCGGATCACAGAACCCCAGAATGTCAGGAGGCTAACCCAGCCCTCTGCCTCCATCTTACAGATGACGAAGGTTAGGCACGAGAAGTATAATGACCACGTTCCTACTGTCTCTGGCTGGCTTCCACATGCCCCTGCAGAGGGGCAAAGCCAGAGAGGAAGACAGGGAATCCAAGGAGAGGCCTGAGGACATTGACCTCACCAACCAGAATGTCACTCCCAGGGGCATACCCACAACCTTTCTGCAGGGGCTGGCGGAAAACACCTAGTCTGTAGTCAAACTCTGTTCTCCAGCTCCTCCAGAAGCACCCCCACCCCCTTAACTTTCCACTCTTGACCCCTTCTTCCTGTGGCTGAATCACGAGAGAACTTGTGGTTGCTTGATTAGAGCACAGGCTGAGAGTCAGGAGGTTTGGGACCAGCCCCAGCCCCAGCCCCAGCCCCAGCTGTATGGTTGGCCCAGTCCCTTCCACTCCCAAGCCTCAGTTTCTACACTGGAGGAGAGCTAAGAGCTTCCACTCTGACAGTGAGTGAGCCTGTGACTCAGGAGGGTCCTGCCCGAGGGCATTTCATAATCAGAGTGATGACAAAGACAGGCGAGCTGACATCTTCCCTGGCCTCTGGGCCTACTGCTCTGCAGGGCCCCCTCTCATCTTCCTGGCTCCACAACTGCTGATGTTTGGAGATCCCCATGGGAAAGTCACCCCCACTGCCTTAGGAAACCAGCTGCCAGGCAGCTCTCTCTCCTCTGTGTTAGCAGAGAGGAAAACGAAAGCAAAGAGACCTGCTTTGGAGTCAGATGGGTGTGGATTCAAATTTTAGCCTCAACACTCACTAGATGTATTCTCTGGGGCAAGTTATGTTCAAAATGAAATGAAAATGAAATCTCATTTCAAAATGAAAGCGGGCACTCAGATCTCGGCAGGTTCTTCTGTCTCCCCACACCACACTTCCCCTGGGCTCTTCTCTGCTCCACGCTGCCCACTGGGGAAAAGTCGCCAAGCACTAGGCAACCAGGCCCCACAGCTCCTGCCTCTGTATATCCTCCTGCCTCTCACCCAGGCCCCAAGGAGTCAGCTCATTCTCGTCCCACAGGGCCAGGGACTATGCAACCCGGGGAGGCTGCTTGGTGCTGCGATGGAGCTGGTCTAGAAACGGGCGGCTGGGGCTACGTCAGCCTCTGCCTTAACTATGGCAGCTCCAAATCCTGACGCCAAAGCCACCCCACCCCCCATTCCTCACTCGGTGCTCTTGTTTCAAGGGTTACAGTCTGGATGCCATATTCCTCCCCAGACCACTGTCCCCAGGAAGCCCTCCAGTTCAGGCCAAAACCACTTCCACTGTCACTGCCTTCATGCATCCATGCAGCCCAGAACACCCCACCATGAACACCCACCACAACAGACACAGGGTGCTTGGAGATCTCAGCATCAGTCTCCATGGAGCCCGGTTTCTCCCATGACAGGGAAGCTGGGACCAAGGGGGTGTGACAACCAGCGGGAGGCTACAGAGCCAAGTGCCATCTGGGAGAGGGAAGTGGGGCAAAGGGAGACCTGACCCAGGGTGGAGATGGAACTGCCCTCTACTTCAGATGATGAAGTTGGGGGATGGGGTGCAACTAGAGGAGACTTACTCCAAAGATCGTGGGCAGAACCGGCCCCTGGGCCTCCAGCCAACTCGGGCAATTACGAAGATGGGTAGGCACTGCCCACGCAGGGCTAGCACCCAAGGCTGGGCCTGAAGCTGAGTCTGAGGCAGGGAGGAGTCGCAACATTTGGGCCCAGCGACCCCAGGACCTGAGTATGCCAGCTGAGAAGTGGCGCCTGGGCGCCGGAGGCCTGGCGGTTCCTGGGGGTGGCACCTCAGTGGGTCCTCACTGCGTCCCAGCCGGGGGCCTAGAGCCAGGGAGTCTTCACCATCAACAACAACCCTCCCCCAAGACTCGCCTGGCGGGCGGCCACAGGGGGCAGCTGGGAGCCAGCCCGTGGAGACTGGAGGCAGGCCCTGACGGAGAAGCGGGTGCAAGGGGCTCCAAAATGCTGGGGAAGCGGGCAGGGCTGGGCGCCAGGTGTCAGGCACCTGCCGGGCGGCGCTGGGAGCCGGGACAGGGGCCGGGCTTACCCAGCATTAGCAGCAGCAGCAGCGGCGGCGGCTTGGGACCGAGGGCGCCCATCCTGCGCAGTCGGCTCTGGAGAGAACTCGTGGAGGGGGCGGCGGCGGGCTCGAGGGGCGGCCCGGGGGGGCTCCGGGGGGGCGCATGCCCGGGTCGGGGGCACGAAGCGGAGCAGCGAGGCGTGGGTGCGCGGAGTGGAGCTGAGCGGAGCGGGAGCCTGCCCAAGTCCCCCTCCCCTCCCTCCCCTCCTCCCCTCCCCTCCTCCCCCCGCCCCGCCTCGCCTCCTCCTACTGCTTTCCCTCCCGCCTCAGCGATTCGGAAGACCGTTCCCGCCCTGCCCTGCCCAGGCCCCGCCCCGGCCCTCGGCTCCTGCCCCAGCCCAGCCCCGCCCCGGTCCCTAACCTCGCCCCGACCCCTCCCGACTGCGGCCTGGCTCCTGTCCCCGGCTCCGCCCACCCCTGTTCCAAGCTCCGCCCTGACCCCGACCAAAGCCCACCCACCTCGATCCTGGCCAGCAGGCTGCTCCTGGGCGTGGCCAAATCCCCACCAGCTCCGCAGAGTGTGCCAGTACCCTGCACCTTCGGACTTTCCCTGATAGTTGGGTGCAGGGGCTCTGGGGTCAGCGAGGTGACTGTGGCTACGAACTTAGAACCTAGGTGTTTGCTCTGGGCCTCTGGGCCTAGCCACAAACCCTGCAGAAGTGGGGAAGGGCAGGACCTAGGAGTTATGGAACTACGAGGATCTAGGCTGAAGGACGCTTCAGGGCTGCGCAAGGTTACTAGAGACCTGTTTGCCACCGCCTCGGGGTAGTACCAGAAGTGAGTGAGAAGCTTAGGCCGCCTGGGTACCGTCATTTCCTGGTTGGTGATCCTGGTCAAGTTGCTTAACCTCCTCCAACCTGTTTTCTCGTTGGCAAATAGAGGTGGATGACACCCACACCAAAGGGTTTTTGTGACCTTAATTGAGATAACTTACAGAAGGTGCATGGCACAAGATAACGCTAAATAGGAGATGGGGGGCAGTGGGGAGGCGGTTTTGAATTATTTAAACTGCTTGCTAAGGGGTTTAATTCAGATCTAAGGAGAGAGTGAGCCTGGGGTTTAGGTGCTGAAGTCCCTAGTTCCAGTGAGGAGAAATGGACAACACTCTGCACTGGGAGGTGTGAGGCCTGCCCTGGAAGTGGGAGAATGGAAAAGGCATCTTTCCTAGGCTCTGTCTCTTCCTTAACTAAGGAGAAGATGGGGAGTGAGGACGGGCAGGAAGAGTGGCCAGAACCGGGAAAGGGACAGCCAGGCTGCAAAGCTAAGGCTGTCATGGTGGCCATCCATGGAGGGGACCCAAAGATCATCTAGCACCTTCACCCTCAAACTGCCATCTGTCCTCTCTCATCCCCCAAAACCCCCAACCCACTCACTCCTCACTCCTTTTCACAGAAGAAGAAATGGAGGCCCAGAGAGGGGAAGTGGCACAGGCCAGACCAGATCTTCCTTGACTCTCTCTTCCCAGAGCCTGGCACAGTGCCTAGATCAGAGGAGGTGCTCAGCAGAGGCCACATTCAGGAACCCTGGACAGACTGGAGAAATTCTGAGGTGGAATTCTGGGGACCCTTTAGAGAATCAGAGATACAGCCCAATACTTCCAAGACTGGCTCAGGAACAGGGCAGCAAGATGCATTTTCCCTCCTACTTTGTTGTATCCACAGCCTGATTTCTCCAGATTCATTTCACCTAAATCCATCCACAGGCCAGACTGAGCTATGTGAAAACTGAAAGGTATAGGGAAGCTTTTGGAAGAAAGCCACTCTCCCTTTATTTGGAAGTAGAGTGGACATAATGCCTTCCTGATGCTTGAGAGATGAGAGATGTTGCCAATCATCATCATAGATGCCATTTATCAGACATGTTGATCTTAAAAATAAAATAACAAGGTCTTTTTTTAAACTTTTTTTATTGAGTTATAGTCATTTTACAATGTTGTGTCAAATTCTAGCGTAGAGCACAATTTTTCAGTTATACATGAACATACAGATATTCATTGCCACATTTTTTTTTTGCTGTGAGCTACCACAAGATCTTGTATATATTTCCCTGTGCTATACAGTATAATCTTGTTTATCTGTTCTACATTTTGAAATCTCAGTCTGTCCCTTCCCACCCCCCACCTCCTTGGCAACCACAGGTTTGTACTCTATATCTATGAGTCTGTTTCTGTTTTGTATTTATGTTTGTGTGGTTTTTTTTTTTTTTTAGATTCCACATATGAGTGATCTCATATGGTATTTTTCTTTCTCTTTCTGGCTTACTTCACTTAGAATGCCATTCTCCAGGAACAACAATATTGCTGCAAATGGCATTATGTTGTTGGTTTTTATGGCTGAAGAGTATTCCATTGTATAAATATACACATCTTCTTTATCCAGTCAACTGTTGTTGGACATTTAGGCTGTTTCCATGTCTTGGCTATTGTAAATAGTGATGCTATGAACATTGGGGTGCAGGTGTCATAAAATAACAAGATCTTAAGCTAGCCAAAATGAGTTTACTTGGGAACAGCAGAGGAATTACAATTCAAGAGAAGCAAACTATGGTGAACCATAGGCAAGTCAGAGCAGACAAAAAAGTCAGCTTTTATTACATTTTAGAGGAAACAGGGAAGGGCTGTGGCAGTTTTCTTTTTAGTGGTGAGCAGCTTGTTGCTGAGTCAGAAGGAAACCTTTCTTCTTGCTGAGATCTGTAAGCTGTGGTGAGTGATATGCTCATGAGAGCCCTCCCTTCATGGCTTCCTTACTCCATTTTGATTTAGATTTCTTTTGTTCTTGTTCACATTTCCCCCTTTAGATCAAAAACCTTTCCTTGAAAACATCACTGATCAAGAGTCAGGTTACCTAATTTCAGTGGAATTATGTTTTGTCCTTGCTGCCAGGATGGACCTTTCCTGGATATCATGTTCCATATCGGAGGGAAAATGATAGTGAAACCATTTGAGGACATATTTGAGTGACAAGGAAAATGGAAAGGAGAAACTCTTAAGCATTGTCACTCTTAAGATTATTTCAAAGTGTTGAGTCAACAGTCTGTTTGGTGTATCAATTCTGCAAAAATTGGACAGGCAACAGGTGCAATTTTTAAAAATTTTACAAAGCAGGATTAAAACTAATATGACAAATTCAGTTTGTATTGTGGTTCTAAATCATAACCCTAGATCTGAGGGTAGCTAACTGAACAAATAGCCAAGTGCGTTTATTCCCTGATCTTGTGTAATTGAGTTTCTATTCCTCCAGAGGCATTTATCCATGTGCAACAGGTGGCATTTGTGAATGCCTCCTTGTTCAGAATCAAGAGTATTGATTGTCTCCGACTGCTTTAGCCATGGGGTCAAGTGGCCATTGCTGGGCTGCAGAATTGGATAGCTCTCCTAATGCTAGGGAGATATTTATGATCATATGCTCATTGGCACTTACTCTGACCCAAAGGGGAAAGGCTCTCGCCACGATGGCAAGCCTGGAGTCACGTATGCCTCAGGTAGTTCCTTTTAAGATGTTTAGGAAGGTTTAATGGGGAAGATCAATGGGAGGCTTCAGATTTATTATAGATATTAATGAGGATGGTTAAATATCCTAGTAGACATTAACCTCTCATTCACCAGCTGTCCATACATTCATAGGCCCATTGAGAGTTCCACTTGCCATAAACAAGGCTAAAACCAGGTAGTGCACTTAACACTATTATTGATAATGCCGTTAACTGGAATTGGTCAGTCAATCCTTTTGAGCCAAGAGTCAGTGGTGTTTGGGGAATATTTAGAGAGAAACCATACTGTTCTGTGGACTTCTCCTCTGAAGGCTGCAAAGAGGGGGGTAATTTTGTTATAGTATGCAGACTTAAGGTAATACTAGAGGGTCACCACTGTCATGAACATATCAGGGTTTCTGGTGACAAATCCAACAATCAGAGAGGTTCTTCCCTTTGGCAGTGGATTGGGAAATATGGATAAGAGCATTGTCTTTGTAATAAAGAAAGGGAGAAGATACGGCAAGAAGTAATAGTGGGGAAAAGATATACAGGCTTGGTCTAGTCATCTTGGAAAAGCTATTCCTTCAGCTGTTGTCTGCTTCAATTCTTGGATATCTTTACTTTTAGGTCACCAGTTGGAGTGCAGGTCCAATCAGGGTTTGGTTCTGTCTACAGATGTGACACATGGATCCAAGGATAGAATGGGAAACTTATTCCTTGGAGTTTAGTGGCACAAGGCTTGGTTGACAGCACCTAATACTGGACTTTCCAATGGGGTTGAAGGGAGTCTTTCTGGGGATGTCGTTTCCAATAGGTGAAATCTCCAGGTTGTAAGGTGTGATGCTTGAGGTCTTCATGTCCTGGGAGCATGCCATGGAAAGACTATTCTAATATATGGTTAAGTATAGTTTGTGGATTCTGAAGGAAGTGGCTGTAAGGTTCAGAAGGACCAATGGCAATGCTTTTGGTCAGGGTATTTGAAGGGTCTCTACACACTTTGCCTATTGGATTTTGACGATGCCATTTTTATATTCAACTAGTCCTGAAGACTGAGGATGATAAGTGAAGTGAAAATGTTGTAGAACTGGCCAAATAGCACAGACTTCTTACAGCACTTGACCAGTATAGTGGGTTTCCCTACCTCTAATTGGGGGGGGGGGTGAAGAGTCCCTTAGGTAGGGTGATCTTTTCCAATGGTATCTTAGCCACAGAGGAGGCAGTAGCCTGTCTACATGAAAAAGCTTCAGTCCAATTAAAAAAAATGTAAATCATTACCAAGACTTATTTATGCCCATGAGATGGGGGTAGCTGTACAAAATCCATTTGCCAAAACTCAAATGGTCCATCAGGCAATTTAAAGTGCTCAGGAGCAGTAAGGACAGCTTTTCCTGGATTCTATTTAGGAATAAAGATCAACCCTGGATCCAACATCTTATGTAATCCTGCATAATATTGGTCTGATATCATCTGAGACTTCATTACTTGGAAAAGCAACATTAAAGCCTGCACACTGGTGTTAAAATTCACAATATGCAACACCTTGAACAGCATGTCAACCTGCTCTCTCACTTTGTCATCACCAGTCTGGTCATAAGGGTATGTCCTGTTCACTCCTGTTAAAAGAGCCTTGGCATTTTTGATTCAATGTATTTTTCTTGACTTGTTGAGGTTTATTGAGGGACCTCTGTCATTTGAATCATTTTAGTGCTCTGAGGCAGGAGTTGTTCAATAGTAGCTCCAG